GATGTCGAATTTAAGTGATCTTGGCTCGTTTGATTCGTCTCTGTCCGAGCCGTTCGATTCGGTATACCGCTCGTCAAAATCCGGAGACCGTTTGGCTAACTCAAATTGCGGTTGAACTCCAACAGCGCTTTACGGAACTCTTGATTCGGACTTATTTGGGCTACGGATGGGTCGATCTTGGGTTTTTTGGTTCGTATTTCTCGAGACGCCAGTTTTGCTGTAAGATCGTGTGAAAATCGGAGTTCGGATGCTCCGGATTTAATTTTTGAATTGTCTCCAACTTAGTTGTTTGCCTCGGAGATTCGTGCGTATCAAGGCCTAATTTGTGATGATGGTATCAGAGTTTTTTTAATTTTTGAAAATGTTGGTTAAATCCCCCCCCGCCCCCCTTATTTTTCCTCAAGCTCTCTACTCCTTCGAACCCTCAAAGAATAAATTTTGGAAAAGATTGAAAATTGTTTTTATTTGACAAGCAATTGATGCCAATCAATGCTATGGAGTCTGCTGACATGCAAAGCTTCATATTGTCTCCCTCACCTCTCTAATTGATTTGGCCTCAAACATTGCTTTGTTTGAGCACGGAAATCTACCCTTTTTAATCGTATGCCTCTTCTTGATTAGATACATCATATATAAAAATTCTATTATTATTTATCCTTTTATAATTCTAATTAAAACTCAATATTTTAGAATAATATTCAATCATTAAAATCACAAAAATGTAAACTCAAATTTTACAAATTCTAAAATTATATAGCCTTAACAAAATGCCTTAAAATGGTTTAGGATCTATTTTCTCAAATTTCCTAAATTTAAAGCAATTTCTCAAAAGTACAAATGGACTCCAAACTTGGGTGGCCTTTATCTAGGCCCTTAGGCCTATGTACAAAGTTTCATTACAGAACAATCTGAGTTATCATTTGTGCTTCTCATAAGTTCATGAAGTCAACCCATTGTTAAATTAAAGTTCAACATGGCCTCTTTAGGTCGAGTGATCACCCAGGCTATCCAAATTCTTCTGAAACCCTTAGGCAGCCTTAGATTAATATAAATTAGCACTTAGGTGGCTCAACCCTTAGCTCTCATAGACCCTAGATTATTTACTTGACTCACTCATGAAATCCACCTTAAATTCAACTAAGCTATAATAACCATAGTAACTAAGCAACAACCAACCCTTAAGCTTAACTAATTAGTAGATCCATTTACCTAAATAAACACTAGTGATCAGTCTTAATTTATCATATCTAGCCATATTGTGTTAATGACCTCATAAAAGACATTTCTCTCCATCGGCCCTGTGAATAGTTAATTCAACAAAGGATGAAGTGGCACCTCAACTAAATCATAAACACCTTAGGTGCTAATTTCACCATAGTTGTGAAAATCTTTTATAGTGTCTTCATACTATAAAATCACATAAATTCTTTGAATCACAATCATTTAAATCAAACCATCCATAATTATGATAATTGATATTTTAAAATTTATAATGATACAACATATTTTGCATCTACATGACTTAATGCACACTTAATGATTGCATGCACACCTTGGTTCTTGACGTTAGGAAGCAACTAAGGCTCGCTTGGACGGCTTTCTTATTGCTTTAAAGCAACTTTCTAGTACAACAATTACCTTAAGAAGAAGGTGAGAAGATGTTTCCCAACAAAGCATAAGTTGGCATTACATTTCTTTCTTGCTCAAGTGTATACTATTTTGCCTTGATAATATTTTTTGTTATGTTGTATGGATATACGTATCAACCTTTGGTGCCCCACTGATCATCCAAAGGGAAATTAAATAATTGTCACTTAACTTTAAATCCCTCATCCTTACGGTTTGATTTGTTTATAAGTAACAACCTTGAATAGGCATGATTCAAATGAAAAATAAATACTTCTGAAAGAAAGTTGTGCTTTGCTCAAGACATATATACAATAATTTTTATGTTATTTATATTTTGATAATGTTATATTATATTATTTTTATTTTAAATAATATATACTTTGTAAAAAAAAAATATGAAGGTTTTCGATGTAAAATTAGATGAGTAGCGAGGATGGACCTTATTCTGATGCCTTGGAACTTCTAGAAGATTCAAAGCATTAAAGACCACTTGTCAAATTCTGTACGAATCGTCTGTAACGATTTGACATAATTTCGTCTATAGATCCGTGTCAGAGGAGTTCCGTCCGGGACGATCTGGCATCGTCCTGGACGATTCCTGCTTGATAAGTATCGGATTTGAGTATTTGGAAATTTTTTGAGGAGAGAGAAAAAGCATAGGGAAGAAAGAGAGAAAGATAGGGAAAGCTGATTCGAGGCCGCGGAGCGCTTTCGTCCGACAACGCAGTTGGAAGATTTGTTTGTCTCGCAGTAAGGATCTGAATCCTATCGATTTCGAAGATTTCGAGTTTTAATATTTTTGTGCTCAGTTTTGTGTGTTCCGTACCAAAAACGCGCATATTTTTTGTATTGACGAAAGTTTTACCGCACAACTTTTATATGTTTTCTGATATGAATATTTCTACACGATTGTTGTTTTTCTGTAAACTTTCTACATGTTATTTGAGTTTCTGTTGCTTTTTATCGAATAGACATTATCAAGGATTGTTTGGAAAATGATGCTTCAGTACAGAGTATAAGCTTTGAACGTTATTTTCATTCGATTTCTGGTAATTTTGGGTAAATATTTCGATTTGTGGATTTCTGTGTACATTCCGTGTACTACCGTAATGCGCCGATTTCTCCGTGTACGATTCTTCTGATTTTCTGAATTGATGATGTTGAAATGGTATTGAATATGCATATGAATGTAGAAAATATGATTGAATTATTGTTATAAACTACTGAAGACGAAAGTGAAGACTGGTTGAATCGTTGGTTGGATTGACTTGAACTGTACATGATGGTGGCGACCGGGCTTTCCTTTAAAAGGGTTTTGGTGTTATCCTCTATTGATACATTTAATATATACGTTGGGAGCATAGAGAAGATTATTATGCCGTACGGGCGGCGCGACGGGCACAGGAGTGACTGACTCTATTATTGAGCCAACAGATATATGGATATTTCTACAACAACACAGATGGAATTAACAGACGATACATTCGACTTGAAAAAACGCCCTTAAAGCCAAGTGATTGTACTTGTGTAGTAAGACTTACTGTATTGAATTGCATGTGTACGATTATGACCTATTGATCTCAT